TCTCTTTAATGTGGCATATTATTTACAAATATTATGGGTTGTGTGTAATTTTTTTTTTTTGTACCAGGGATTGAACTTGGGTCCTTGCACTTTCAAGGCAGGCAGCAGCACCACTGAGCTAAATCCCCAGCCCCTGTGTGTAAATTCTTAAAAAGAAATATTAATCAAATGCATGGGCCATGCAATGGAGTTAACTTCCACACAGGCCCGGGCGAAGTCACCATTTCTGTCTTCTCTGGAGAAGAGGCTCCTTTCCAAGGGGGGCTTGCGTGCAGGGAACTGAGATGGTTCTCAAGCTTGTACATCCCAAACCAGTTTCAAGACAGCAGGTACTGGCTCTGGACCTAGGAGCTGCAAACGTCGCAACTGACAGCATTAGGGTTCTGTAAACATGCAGCCCTGGTCAGACTTGGAAACAGGAAGGAGAACAGTAGTTGCCAGGGACTGATTAGATGAGGAAGATCCAGATTTGCTGGGGATTTAGCTCAGTGGTTCTGCCACCTGCCTCACAAGCACAAGGTCCTGAGTTCGATCCCTGGTACCAAAAAAAAAAAAAAAAAAAAAAAAAAAAAAAAAAAGACAGATTTAAAGTTTGTTTTGAGTTTTATTTTTCTTTCAGGGGATCAGTTTTTTTGGGTTGTGATGTAATTAGCTTTTGACAGGGCCACGGGCCTGTTCCTGTCAGCTATTTTGTGGGCATTCATTTGTGTGTGTCCGTGTGTGTATGCATGTGCATGTGTGGGCATTGCAAGGCCAGCTCCGCATCCCTGTGTCTCCTATACTGGTGACAGAAGCCACTGTCTCATAAGGAGGCTCCTTGGGATCACCTGCACTATCTCTGGTACTGCTGGGCCAAGACGAGAACCCTAGGTTCAAATCGTGCTGTTTGTGTTGTGCCGGGTGACAGAACATCAGAGGGTGTTCCTGCCTTCCCCCACACCCTGCACCCCTTACCCTGCACACTTCCCAGGCTCTGCCATCACAGCTGTCCACTTCCCCGAGGACAGCCTGCGAGGACTGTGGCTCACTCGGCATAGTGCCCCCACCTCCATCAGCCAGAGGTGCTGTGAAGGTCGAGACACAGGACACACTTCCGCTGTGGAGCTGCTGTGGTCAGAGCTCCAGGCAGGGAGCCATGGCCTGTGTTTACGATGTCTGAGAAAGAAAACAACAGTGAATTTTAGAAATTACACTTGAAACAAGCGAGAGTTTGATCTCTTTTCTAGCCTTGCAATCAGAATCTCAGCCCTGCTTTCCAAGTTTGTGTTCGCGTATCATTTTACGTGTAATCTTTAGTTTCAGGCCCAAAGAAGGCTAAAACCTCACTTTTGGTGGTTACTCGTTGAAACAGAAAACTGAGAGGTACTAGAACATTAGAGAAGAGGGGCTGGGCAGGTCATGAGCTCATGCAGAGGCTCTGGTGTACTTTCTGAGCCCTTCAGAGCCCTGTTGTGTCTTTCAGAACCTGAGTCGAAGCCGTGCCCGAACACGTCCATCGGCAGGTTCTCCCTGGCTCGTTCCCTTCCCTGTGCCTCTAGCTTGTGCTCCACATAGTCTCATGCTGACTGGTGCTATGAATGCTCAGTGTGTCTGTGTTGCTTCAGCAGAAGTAGGCCTTTTCCTTACCTCTTCCCCTTCTGCAGCCTGTGCTGCAGTGTCTCTCCGGACTTGCCAGGCCTCTCGCAGCATCATCACTCAAGAATCGCCTTATAGCACAGAGCGGGAGGAGCCTTTCTGTTGACTGAGCTTGGTTCTGTGTTTCAGTGCAATAGGAAACAAACTCTGCAGTTTGAAAAACAGTAATCTGACATTTGAGATCTCCACAAGTTTGACATCAATTGGCTTCCACCAGACTACTTTCTTGAAACATCATGGAAAGTGCTATTTTCTTATTTGGTGAGAATTATATTTTGTGGGAGAAGATAGGCAGCTTTATTTTTATGCTTTTTCAAAATGTTGGAGGTGATGGGAGGATGTGAATGCCATGCCAGTGATGCACCACTGTAAACACTGCTGCTGTTTATAATACTGATGAAATTTTCATATTGTTCTAGAATTTTTATATTTTTTACCTCTGAGTTTGCTGTACTTTCTATAATGTAGCTAGATACATCCTACTGCTTATCTCTGCCTGTCTCCAAATCTCACACCAGAGAGTGGTCCTTGGTATAGATCTTTTTAGAGGAAACATCTACTCCACATCTATTAAAAATTCTGGTACAATTGTACTCCTTGGCACTAGGATAATTTTAAGTCAGCCCAGCTGTCTGGAGGCCCTGGGGTCTGTGTGCTGCTTTCTGAATTAGTAACTAACTGTCACGAATGTGCCCGTGTGAAGGCATTTGAAGCCTTTTTAAGTAGCTCCAATTCTGTCGCCGGTGGCCTCAAAGAGATCTGTGCTTTGTTAATGACTAAGCCAAAATAAATAGATGTTCTTGGGCGGCGAGCAGCTGACACTTTTGGCAGTTTTGACTCCTTCCATGGTGAGATTTGCATGCCTGTTGGAGGTGATGGCAGCGGGGTCTGAGCCGTCCGTCCCTCAGAGTGGACAGGAGGGAGGCTGCATGGCCCGAGCGTAGGGAACAATGTGTCCCTTGCATGGTGAGGCCTAAACCTTGGCCGTGCTGCTCCCAGCACAGGTTCAGGGTGGACACTTGACAGCGTTGGCTTCCCTTGCTTCTCATCCTGTGGTCTTTGTGGGAACTCACTTCACACTGGGCTGAACGTGGATCCCACCAGCAGGCCGTCCACCAACGTCTTGGCTGGGCAGGCGCTCTCACCCTGGCTCTCAGGATGCCCACATGTGTCCTGCTTGCTTGGTGTTGCTGAGACGGTGGGTGGCAGCAGTGAAGAGGTGGACACTTGTAAATCCTCCTGGCCCCTGGGAAGTGTGGTCAGAGGGGAGCTGGGGGGAAGTGTGTGGGAGGAAGGAATTTCACAAGCTTCTGGATGAGATCCAAGAGCCAATGCCAACTCTCACTTAAAAGAAAAAGCCAGTTGAGTCATTTCAGTGGCAGCTGTAGGAAATGATCAGTGTATGAACCAACTAATGTGTTTGGCCTCGATGATGGAAGGTGTGAAATGACTGTTTTCTTTCCTTACAGTAGTGTTTCCTTTTCAGTTGTCTTGTCCTCTTAAGTCATGGTGTACTGTTTCTCTGGGTTTGGAGGGACTTTAGAATTCCAGACCAATGTTCAACGCGCCCAGCGAAGGACATGAAAAATGAGGAGAGACAAAAGGAGGCAGGTGGGGCGACCAGCAGAAGGTGAAGGAGGGAGAATCTACTGCTTCCTCTTCCTCTTCTGCCAGGGCACCCTGGAGTTCAGCCTTCAGCATGGCAGAAGCCCACCCTCGTGTGACATGTGCCTATTTGGATAAATAGAGGTATAGCTTATTGTATTCAAGACTGATGATATGATTAGTAATGGTCTGATTTTTTTCAAATCATGATTAAATTATTGGACATTTTTCAAGGCTGGGAAAAACACATAGCAACCATGCAAGCACAGTGTTCCATTTTGTTTTTATTTGCTTTCGGACCTCTCCCAAGCTTATAGAATGGAAGCACAGGTGGTATCGCTCACACCTTCAGCTGCAGACAGCAGATCCCACTCTGGGCCGGTTTGAGAAGGCAGGGTTTTATTAGAAGCTGGTTGAAGAGACACCAGCTCTGAGCTGAGGTTCCTGGAACAATCCCTGATTCTGCACAGGGCAGCCAGAGCTCTGTGCCAGCAAAGAATACGCTGCCCCCCGACACCAGGCAGGCTGGGAGTGGAGGTCCTGTTCTGTGGGGCCAGAGTGGAGTCATGCAGGAGGGACTTAGGCATTTCTTCCAAGACTGTGTTAGCAGACGTGACACAGGTTCCTTGTGACAGGAGTTCACAGCACATGGGTGACAAAGATTGCACTTTACTCCAGAAGGCAAACTGCTTTATCACTGTATCTTTTGAGGGAGTTGTGGTTGTGTTTATCATCATTCTACATATCTGCTCTTCATGTATTCTGTTATATTGGTTATTTTTCTAGCTTCTCATGTATCTATTGTCCATGACATTGTGACAAGATTCTATGAGATTAGGTAATTGCAAGAGGTAGAATTTAAAATGGTTCATTTAATTCCTTATAAAACTGTATTCCCTTGCAAATATTACTGAAATGTTTATATTTCAAATTTTCCTTGACATTGAAGACTTTTCAAACTTTAATGTCAATTTCTATGATAGAGAAGCAAATCAGACTTTAAAAACTCAACATTTTCTTTTAGATTTTTACAGAAGACTAAGTGAGGGGTGAGGATTTAGCTCAGTGGTTCCAGCGCCTGCCTCGCAAGCACAAGGACCCAAGTTCAATCCCTGGTACCCCCCCCCAAAAAAAACAAAAAAAGACTAAATGAAGTTCATTCTTTTTTATACTAGGCCATTGTTTTTAAAGACATATGTTAGTTTGATATACAAACTTGTACTGTTCTAAAAAGCAAAAGATAAATAAACAAATTGCAGAGTATGAAGCTTCTACTGATGAAATTGTAGCCATTGTGATACAAAAACATTAACCTATAAAGGTATAACATGACATCACAGATTTTGGTCATTTTTAAGGTTTTTATAATGCTTCCTTTTTGGATATTCAAGGTTCCAAGTGAAATATATAGAGAATTGCAATATTCAAAAAAGCATCTGAGATGATGGTTTTGAAACTTGTTGACACTTGCTCAAAAGTACTGAACTTTTTCACTTTTGTGATACACCTTTTGGATTGTGTCTAACCCTACTAGCTGTTTGTAGTGCAAAGCATAAATGTTTGTATGCATGGTCACATAAAAGAACCAGGAACTTTAATTAAAGAGTTTTTCTCCAGTTTCTTGGCAACAAAAGAGGGATGAAAACTTCTCCTTTTTAATACTTTTTAGTTTTTTGACCTGAGTAAATAGTTTCTTTAAATACATTTCTTCATTAAGGATCATCTGTTTTTATTGATTTTTTTTTTTAATCATTCTACAGGGAGTTAAATACCTGTGCATTCCAGCAGCGGATTCACCATCTCAAAATCTGTAAGTTGTTTTGCGGGCTTATTTAGAGATATTAAAATGAAAATGGTGTCGAAGCTGAATAAGTAAAGAATTGTGTGAGCCCAGGGCCCCATGCCCACAGAGGGCAGGGCTGGCCCACCGGATGCACTGCAGGGGGACCTTGCCACTTTCCTTCCTCTGTGTGGCATGACAGATGGGACATCCATCAGGCAGGTCCACAAAGGACACCTGAAACCAGATCTTTAGCAAGCTCATCATTGCTGTGGAAACAACTCCTTAGAGAGGTTCCCAGGTTTGCACCTCCTGTCTTGTCCCACTGTGCCGCCTCAGTATGTACGAGCTGCACTCCCTGTACCCAGCAGCTGTGTGACATGTGGCTGGGGAGTACCATGGCACTCACCTCCATAGCCTGCCTGAGTGTGAGGACGAGATCTTTCTGGTTTGGGAGAGCTCAGTCCTTGCTTCTACATAGCTGAGTAAATATCCGGCACCTCTTTGTACCTGCAGAGGGAAAATCAGTTGCAACCCTTTCTCCACATTCTTCTCCAGAGTGATGGGAGTGTGTTTGGGCTCGGCGGGGCATGACACCGGCTGTCCAGGAGACTGGAATGGAGCAGATTAGACTCTTTCTGGACCATGGATACACTCCAGGGTGCTATGAGGCTTATCAGGAGTTCCTCCTTCGAAGCTCAGGCATAGTACATAGAAATCACACATATCAGGAGCACAAGCCATTTTCATGTGTCCTATCCCAAGTGTCCAGCCTCTCCAGAAGTCACTGGACACTGGAGCATCAGCCAACACTGAGCTCTCACTCCAGGAAAAGCTGGGCTGTCGTGGACGGTGCAGTCATTCTGTGGGACCTACCTGCGGAAACAAAAATAGAGTCAGAGTCGGACGGATCGGTGTGGGGAAAAATGAGATGGCAAGCCAGGGACCCACAGTGCAGAGGTAGAGCAGGAAAGGACACGGGGAGGGGATTATTGAGGCAAGTATGTGCCTCCTGGGGATTAACAGCAAGATGGACCATTAGGGTGGAGGATGGAGGAGGAACAACTTTACTAAGGAAGCAAAGGAGTTGCAGGGCTGGAAGGAGGAGAGCAGCATTCAAGAACTTCCCTGGTTACTGATCGTGTCAAGAAACAGAAGTGGTTGGAAGGGCATGATTTATACGGAAGGAAGTGAACCACTGCTTTTCTCTGAAGACCAGAGCAATCTTCTGCCCATGTTTTGATTACTATTTTTAGAATAGTTGTTTTGTTCTTATTTCCAACCCAGATTGTACATTGCTACCGAACTTGTCAATAACCAACTGGCAGTTTGATTCTCTAGAAGAATCGTACCATGGCCTGTCTGCCCTTGTCCTTGAGCTGCCCTGGCTACATGCTGTGCTAGGGGCCCAGTGCTCTAGTTGATGTCCATGACAGTTACCTAGGTGTTGAGCTGTCCTGTGTTATAGACAAGTGAGCAGTAGTCTGAGGTGTCAGGAAATCTCTAACAAGAAACCAATTCCAGGGACCTTGGTCAGGTCGTTTTAACCCATCCTGTTCTTTTATCTGAAAAATGCCTGCCTGCAGGATTTGGGAGCCAAAGTCGATGTGCGTGTGAATGTTTTCTCCTCCAGATATTAGGAGCTTTAGAAACTAAGAGTCTGTTTCTACTCAGAGGGATCGGCATGCCGTGAGAGTTGCAGAACGTGAAGCATGCTTGGCAGACTGGAAGGTATGCTCAGGAGGGCAAGGGAGCGGAGCATGTGATGGCTACTTTTCCGAGTGCCAGGCTCTTATGGGTCAGCTGAAATCTTCTGGCCAAACCAGCCCAAAGCAGTCTCCAGGCTGGCGGACTCCCCACAAAGTTGGGTTAGTGCTCTCCTGTTCCAGCTGTGCAGAGGTCCCCTGAAGCCCCTCATCCATGTCACCCTTCCCTTGCATCTGCTGGGAGCGCAGGTCTGTGAGGCTCAGGTAGCAAAGGTGGCAGCTGCACAGCTGACATGTGGAGAATGTGCTCGAGCTGCTGCTCCCAGCAGAGCCCTCCCTGTCGGCCGGAAGAGGAGGCCAAGATCCTGACTCCTCACTCGGAGAGGTAGGCGTGCTATGCCTGGGTGTCCTCGGAAACTGCTACTGTTAATGCATGGGTAGCAAGCTTTACGCATAGGCAAGGCTTTTGGCACACAAATGGAGTGAATCTAAATATTTCTGGTGTGCAGAAGTTGTATGGAGATCACAAAGCAGAATTTAAACTCTGAGTGTACTTTGGATTGGTAAGAGGCAGCCCAGCAAGCACCTTTTCACTTTCCCCATTGCAAGGGAAAGCATGGCTTGCTTCTTAGCGGTGAGTGTTACAGTACATTTCCTGTTGCTATAATAGGATATCTGAGGCTCCTTATTTATTTAGAAGAAAGGTTTATTTGGGGTCACGGTTCTGGAGGCTGAAGTCCCAGACTGGGTTACTACCTTGGGGAGGCCATTGTGCAGTAGAACGGGGAGAGGCAAGGGAGCTCGTACTGAAGACAGAATAGGACCACACTCCAGGTTGCCACCTCATTCCCAGGGAGAGACATCAGTCCACCGAGAGGGCACGGTCCCCATGACCAAACACCACCTACCAGTGCCACTATCTTGAGGAGTTCAAGTTCCAATGCAGGAGTTTCAGGGGACACATTCAAACTGTAGTAGGCAAGCTTGCGTGATATCATCAAATGATTAACCTAAAAGGGGCAGGCAGGACACCTGCTTCTCTATGGCCGAACACATCTAAGGTTTCCTGTTTTTATTGCTCACCAAATATTACTAATGGCAAGAACTTTCACTTTCCATATTGTCTACTAATATGGATGGTCAGGAAACAAATATCCTTAATGCTCTGCCCCACAAAAGCCAGACAGGTCACGCTCTGGGCAGCCCAGTCCATTAGAAATCATTCGTAGTCCAGCCACATCGAATTCCTGGTACCTAAGAATTCTTCTATTCAGTGACTAAATAAATTCTGAAAAACAGTATTTCTCACTTTTAAATTTAGGTACTGATTTTTTAAATGATTTCCAACTTTGAATATAATTTAAAACTTTATATCCTAAATCTTTCCCTGCAAATCCAAGAGGAATCCTGGCCAGTCATGCTCAGTAGAAAGCTCATAACCTTTGAGAGCGACTGTGTCCCTTCCCTGTCAGCAGCTGCAGACGCCCCAGAAAGGTCAGCTTTCTGTCTTGGGCTTAACCCTAAAGAATCTCCCCTATCATCTTACAGGAACTTAAAATGCAGACAGCAGGTTTGAGATAACACAAAATTTTTAGCTCAATTCCCCCAACCACTAGCCTTGCCAAGCTGTGAAATGTAAAAGTTCAAGTTCTCAGTGTCTGAGAAGCCCAGGATCCACGTGGTGTGCTCTCCCTGGTTCTGTTGTAAGAATCAAATGCATGGCCCCACATAGCCAATGTCAAGGGGCTGGTGACTTAAAGTTTTTAGAAATACTTGCTTTTGCTTTCTCTCTGGCTTTTCCTAAGCAAGTCACTTTAATCTCACTTCTCTCAGCTACACAATACCTCTCTCATCGGTTTTTATAATATTAAATGAGATAAGTGAAAGTATTTTTATGGGCATGAAGCATTTCCAAAAATAAGGTTATATTTTATGTCTTGTCAAGTAGGAAGTATTAGTTTCTTTTGAAAGTGAATGGTTGAATATCCATTACTTGCATTTGCCTGTGCTTAGTTCAGCATGTACTAAATAGGTATTTTGTAGTTAGACATCACTAAATAAATAATGGTCTCTTGTTTTCCTCTCCAACCAGTCCAGGCAGCTTGGTGTTTGCCAGGCTGGGAGCCCACAGCTTTGCATCATAACACTTTATGACATTCAGCGGTTTGAGAGCCAAGCAGGGCTCTAACTTTTTTGAGGTTTTTGTGGAAAGGAGAAGCATTAGCAATACAGAAAGCTTATATTTAAAACACCAGAAACTTCCTCGACTTATTTGTCCTCCCAATTCTTTGTCTTGTATTCTTTAGTCTCAATGATACCATCTATCATTTCCAACTCCCCACCTACCTCTTTTCTATTTACCTTTTTCTTGGATTTCATTATGAAAGAGCAGCTATGTAAGATCAGAGCGGGGCCAGCCTTTGGAACACTGTGGCCCTGCTTCCAGATGGCTCCTGACAGCCCTGCAGTCCCCGAAACCCTGCTGGCCCAGGAGAGGATGAGAACTCTGGGACAGGCACAGCCAGTTAGCCAGTGTTTCCTGCTTCGCCTTTTCAGCTCCAGCCACTGTCTTTTTTCTTGGGGTTCTTTTTTGTTTGGTTGGTTGGTTTTGGTTTTGGTTTTTTTGGTACCAAGGATTGAACTCGGGACCTTGGGCTTGTGAGGCAGGCAGCAGAACCACTGAGCTAAATCCCTGGCCCTAGCCACTGTCTTTTAGTCTTAGGCTGTGTTGTGTGTGTGTGTGTGTGTGTGTGTGTGTGTGTGTGTGTGTGTGTGTGTGTGTGTGTGTGTGTGTGTGTGTGTGTGTGTGTGTGTGTGTGTGTGTGTGTAACCTTAGGTATATTGTTCTATGCTCAAGTTTTTTATTTCTTAGTCTGTTGTGTGTGTGTGTGTGTGTGTGTGTGTGTGTTTGTGTGTGTGTGTGTGTGTAAAACCATTTTCTTTTTTGAAATGATACTGTAGTAGATGATAGAGAGGTGTTTTGGTTACTGTTGTGTTGGTTTTGTTAACCTTGCTTTAAAATAACTTTATTTGACAAATAAGAAGTGTGGTACATGCACCCCTCGGTTTTTAAGGGAGTGCCTCTGGAATTCAGCCCAGGGCCCCCTGTACCTACATGCATGTTCTGCCATGGAGCCATGCCCCCAGCTGCCCATGTTTAAAACCCTGACAGTGCACGGTACATAAAGCCTGGACCCCCAGGCACTGGAGTTCGTTCTGTGCATCCGATGTCCTCCTGTGTCTGCAGAGTGGAGAATCTTCCCCACCTGTGTCTGGTGGAGGTGCTGCACGGTCTGCGCCCACAGGGTTCCAAAGAGAAGGTAGCCCAGCGGGGGTGTGGCCTCACCAGCTCTGCCACTGAGGCAACGGCTGGGATCTGAGACTTCCAAAGCCTGGACTCAAATAGAACGCTTAACCCATTCATTTCTGAAAATATTTCTTTCTAAGAAAAAAAATGAGGGGTGCTTGCCTTTCCTGAATTTGTTCTGCTTTCGCTTTCATTTATCTACCTTATCCCAACACACACACACACACACACACACACACACACACAAACGCATGCACATGAGTATTGCACTGGGGCAGGCAGTGTCCTGCGTCCTCCTTTGGTAGCACTGGCTCTGAGGTACAGCCGTCTTCCTTTCGAGGCGGCCAGGTCCCTGGGCCCCCTGTCCCCAGCAGAGACCCTATGAGCAGAACAGAACTGTCTCAGCTCCCACAGGGGCTCACAGCCTCCCGATATCACAGTCTCAAGGCAAGAAGTAGTTGTTCAGCTTGAAGAATGGACACCATGTGGTGTGGTCGACCAGATCTCTCCACCATCCTTTCTTGGAGCCTCAAAGTCAGGAGCCCAGCGGGTCACTGGCCTTTAGCCTCTGCTGTGGAGAAAGAACAGCTGGCTGTGGTCAGTGGAGAGGAGGGAACAGGGGCACTGCTAAGCCGCTTGCAAGGCCCACAAGAAGACACCCCCGGCGGACATTCCCTGCCACCCCAGGGTATAACATGCAGGAGCCACGATGAGCCAAATGCACCTGCTCTCTGGACAGAATTCAGTGTGTGTCACATGGAAGCCAAGGCTGGCTGCCAGCCCCACTGAGATGAGAACAGGGAACTGCTGTCCATTGAAACAGCTTGTGGTGGGCTTTGGATTTGTGCTTCTGCTTCAAACTGGAGTTGAGCAATAGAGAGCCCGGCCATGGGTATTTCCCACTGTGGAGGAGGCGTCCAAGGGCCAGAGCTTAGCTTATGTCATTGGCTTCCTTGGAAATAACCCACACACGCTCCCCTGCAGCACACTGCTCTACTCCAGGGTGTCATGGAGCTCGCTGGTCCCTGGCTTTTCTTGGAAAAGTCATTTCTAGGAATGGCTTCCTGGCCTGGCCTGCTGCCCGCTGGTGTGTGTGAGTCAGGCGCCACAGCAGGCTCAGCGGCCCACTCGGCATCATTGCACAGCCTGGACCCACCGCTGGAGTGAGCCGAGTGCGGGGCACTGTCCTGATAAACTTCTGTGACAGCAGCCGCTAGAGGAGGGAGCCAGCAGGGCCGGGTGGGGACCCCGCTGCACAAGTCCTGAGCCTCTGCATAGAGCTAGAGAGGTGTGGCTCTCACCCACTGGGCACACACCCTCTGCTGGGTGGACTCTTGAATCTGGGCTCTGGGCTGCAGCATGGGAAGCCGGTTCCATGTGTGTGGTTGTGATGTGCCAGTGTGAAAGGCAGACGTGAGAACCTGCTCCCACTCCAGAGTGTCTGTGGGAGGGCTCCATCGAGGAAGGCCCGTGTGGGCCCAAAGAACCAGCCGGAGCCCTGAGACCGAGCAGGTGGCCATGATAGTTCGTGTTGCTGTGTGGCCTGCAGCACAGTCTGAGGTGCTCTGGGTCTTGCTCACCCTCTGGGCGGGTGGCTTTCATTCCTAGGTCTGATTTTGCTTTTCCAGCTGCTGCTCTCCCTTTCCTATACTCACTGACCTGAACTCACTGACGAGAAAGAGACTTACAGCAGGCTGCTGCCAGGAGAGGCCCGGGCACCCTGGGGTCACTGGCGGTCCCCCTGTGGCCAGCCGAGGCAGGGCCCTGGAGTCGGGATGGCCTGTCCCAGAGCTCCTCCTTCTGCTCGCCTGTTACATGGAGTGAGTGATGGCCTCGCTGCTCACAGCAGGAGCAGGGAGCAGCCCAGCCACCTGGTCTGCACAGTGAGCGAGCAGCTGGGGGTGGTGAGTGGCTGAGGGAGGTGCTGATGTCACACAGCGTGCATTTGGCTGTGGTAGGAAACCAGGCCAGCAGCATCCTTGGGGATAAGGACTTCTGGTGTGGCTAGGTCTGGGAGCAGGGCCTGGCGTCCCAGAGCCTGGCCTCTCCGCTCCCTGCCCTTCCTCCACAGTTGGCACCGTGGCCACCACAGCTGCTGCATCCCTGAGCATGGAGTTTGCCCATCCCTGGCAAGATCTGCAGAGGCAGAGCTGCTCCTCTCATAAGAAGGGAAGACTTCCCCAGAAGTATACCCACTGTCTCCCTCTGCCTCCCCCTGTCCTACTGGAGGGAGGCAAGACAGTCCTGGGACACTGGCCCTTGGCCTCTGTGACCAAGTCTTGCCGCAGTCCCAGTTGCAGGCTCAGGGACTTCACTACAGCCACCAGCACCTGCCAGACCTGCTGCTTGCCGCCCTTACCTGGGGGCAGGTCTTTACCCATCCAGAGTCCCCAGTGCCCACCTCACCTCTCCACATATTCAGCTCTCATCTGGCTACCGCAGGCTGCTGAAGCCTCAGCCCTGACACCTCAGATTTCAAGATGATGCATCCAGAATGCTATCTTGCCTGCTGTGTACCAAGCTGGTATGGAGAGCATGTTGCAATTCTCCAAACCACTTTCTAAGTTTACACCTGGGAGCTTTGGCCCCCATGCCAGAATCTGATCTTGCAGTGTTATGCCACTTAGCAAGTAAAGGTGAGAACCTGGAGCCTACTGGTTGGTCTGTTTGGACTCCCTACCCTGGACACATGCAGGTTTTTTCATGCACATTTAAATTTTCCTCCACCTCCTGTCTGTGCCAATCTACTGAGTTCCCATTGAGGCTGTTGAGTTTCTTCTTCAGTCAGCAGCTGATGCCTTTGTTGGCCACACGTGAGCTTCACCTGCTCATATATGTTGCTTGTGTTTTCACTCTGCAGCCAGGAACTGCACCTTATTCATTACAGATTGTCCTGCAGCTCTCAGAGACCCTGGCAAATGGTCAGGCTCCACCCATGTTAAAAGGGAAGTGCATTTAGCTCATGGACAGCTTTTACTGTATACTGCCTTGGGAGCCAGGGATGGTAGATCACACAGGAAGTGTGAGTACTTTGTCTGCCCCGTGGAGTGCCTGCACTTAACCCACAGTCAGGGCTAGGTGTGTGGCACAGGGCACACGTGTCAGCTGGGACCCAGCATAGTGGAGCTCAGGCCTGCCCAGCTGCCTCTAGGTGACCTGGCCTCTGACCTTGACCCTGAAAAGCTACCCTGAAAGGAGCATCCCTGCCTGTGAACAGGGCCTGCAGGTGGGCACCCTGGACAGTCAAGGACCAACTGAGTGACAAGATAGAGGGTCAGGAAGGGAGGCTGAGCACTTCCATTGTCATTTAGGACTTCAGAGTAGGCACAGCCTGGCAGCACATCATACACACACATAGACACACACACACACCCCACAGGCAGCATCCCTGCTTTCCTGTCCCAGCCCCCACAGAGTGGCTTTGGAGCTGAAATCCCCACTTCCCCACCACTTTCCGGTGATGTGCAGACCTGACCCCTGTGTTCAGGGGGCATGAGGGGTGCTGTCAGGCCTCTGGTTGTCCGAGAGAAACAGCACATCAGACTCCAGCAGCCCACAGTGCATCCCAAGGGGCTGCTGGCTCACCTGAGCATGGCAAGCTGAGCAGGAGCCACCACCCCCAGTCAGAGGAATCCACACAGAGAAATCCCAAACACTTCAGATAGTTAGGCAGCTCAGCCTGGGCAGCGCAGTGTGACTGGGTTTTGAAGCTGTGGTCTCAAACCTTTCAGAAATCGTCGGGTGGGTGCTGAGTAACAGCCCTTTCTCCCTCTCTCTGTCTTGTTTTTGTGCCTAGGACAAGACACTTCAAAGAAAGTATTAAATTCATCCACGAGTGCCGACTGCAGGGCGAAGGCTGCCTCGTGCACTGGTACGTGTGTCTCTGCATCCTCCTCACCAAATTCTCATGAGTGTTTTTCTGTGTGTGACTGATTCTCTCATCTCCTGAGAGTTTTCCCTACCTGAATCTCACCCACATATCCCATTTCTCTCCCATCGAGTGTTGGTCATCACTTGCTCTAGTGAAAAGAGAACCCCAACTAGCTTTGCTTTTGCTTTTGTTTTTGTGGGTTTTTATTTCACTTGTTGTTAGGATTGTTACTGGGATAGTCAAGGCTGAACATTTCCTATCTGTGGGTTTTGAACCATGGATTCTACCAATCATGGATCACATCTATTTTGAAAAAACATGTGCATCTGCATTGGACACACAGAGACTTTTTTTCCTCATCATGATTCCCCGAGCAGTGTGGTATGACACCTCCACACGGTACTGACATTGTATAGTTTTTATAAGCAACCTAGGGATGTTTTGCATGTGGGAGAATTGCACAGGTTCCATTTGATACCACACCATCCCGTATAAGGGACTTGAGTACACGCGAATTTTGGTATCTGCAATGGGTGCTGAAACTAGGGTCCCCTGGATATAGAGGACGTTGTACCCACGCACTGTGAGGAGAAAGCTGTTCTGACACTGAGTATAAAGCTCTGGCACATAGTTACCTGGAACATAGACAGTTCCCAGCACACACTGGCCCTCCTTCCATACTGCTGGTATCATGCAGTAACTCAGCCAATTTGCCCAGGATCCAGGAGCCAGCATTCTGGCACCAGGCTCTGTTGTCCGTTAGTGTCCTTGGGACCTGTGTGTCACTGTCTCGAATGAGGTGTGACAATAATAACCGGAAGCATAGCATCTTGGCCTCCCACTGCCACCCATGTGGCACAAGCTCTCTGGAAGCCTCAAGTGCCAATTCCTAGGAGTGCTAAGGTTGAAGGCAGCCCGCCAGGGCAGGCAGAGCCCATGTGTGCTGGCCAGAGAAGCCACTCAGGAAGGCCACTGTGTGTCCTGAGGGCAGCATGAGGCATCTCAGTGGCTGTAAGAGTGTTCAGCAGATTCACACAGCTCTGAAAAGGTGTGATTTTTTCATTTCCCTTTAAAAGACTAAGAAGTATAATAAATACAAACAGTAGTTTTTAACATTCAATTACATTTGGCGCTAAAGCACTGAGAGGTACAATTGGAGGCTCAAAAGGAATTTCTCAAACTCCAATCTGGGGGCTTCTCCAGGCTTCTGATAAATTCAGATCTCCAGGCTTGCAGCTCCAGGGGCTGTATTTTTATAAGTCTCTTGGAGTTTCTGATACAAAGCCCTAGAGAAGGACCACTACTTGAGAGTAGGGTGATTATTGTGATTTATATTGGGAGGTGCATAGCCTAATATTCTAGCAATTTATGTCATACATATGGGCGTAAGACATCCCTGAGAATTGCTGAACTTGCCCATGTTAAGCCATTGCTAAAACACCGAGTCTGGCGAAGCATGACCACTCTATGACTGTTTTAGTTTGCAAATGCATTTAAAATCGGTCCCAAACTTGGCCTGCTGGTGACACCTAACCATCGTCACCTGCACATGACCAGGCTCTGAGCATCAGTGTTGCTGCTCTGCGACTCTGCAGTTACATCAAAAGGACACAGAAGTGTGATTTAGCAAGGCCTGCTAGATTTTGTGGGCTTTTAAAATCGTAGATTTAGCCTTTGAATGTGGTGGCTAAGAAAGCCAGAACTTTCGAAGATGGGGAGCATTCTAAAGTAATGTGGGTCATAAGCAGATTTGTTGCACAGGTCTTGGAAGCCTCCAGTCCCCTTGGTTAGTTTTTTCCAAGGAAATGGGAAGTGTCTAAGGAAGGCTCAGGAGCAATGAGAATCATAAAGCTGGAGTGTCTGGACCTCTGTCCTGTAGAAATCTGTGGAAATGAGGCTAAGCCACCAAAGGGATGCCTGCAACTCTGGTGCCATGGGCTCAGGGAAGCTGGACTGGTCCCCAGCGGCTGCCCACAGCTCACTGGCCTGTGTTCATGAGCAGCCCTGGCAGGAAGGCTCCAAAGTGAGCCCTGCAGGTCCCCCACTGCAATTGGCTGAGCCCCACGGCCCCAACCAAACTGGCTTTGTCCGTGTACCCTGCCTGCAGCCTGGCCGGGGTCTCCAGGAGCGTGACGCTGGTGATCGCCTACATCATGACCGTCACTGACTTTGGCTGGGAGGATGCCCTGCACACTGTGCGCGCGGGCAGATCCTGTGCCAACCCCAACCTGGGCTTCCAGAGGCAGCTGCAGGAGTTTGAGAAGCACGAGGTCCACCAGGTAAGCCATGCTGGGGATATTTTGCAGATGTGGGCAGCTGCCCCAGGAGCCTCCATGTGAACTGAAGGATCCAGAGCACCCACGGTGCTCTGCAGCCTGCAGATGCGGTCCCCAGTTCCTGAGCCTCGGCTGTACCTAGGACCCTCCCTCAGCCACTTTCCTCATGCCTGACTTCACGGCAGCTCATCTGTCCTGTGGCTGAAGTGCCATTTCCTCAGCATGGCTTACTTTTTTATTTTGCTTTTAACTAGTTTTAATCTTTAAGCTTTTAAAGGAATCACGGATGAGGAGATGGTGGTATGATGTTTTCCAACACTAGTCTTGGAAACACAAAACTGAGGTTTCTGTTTGAAGTAAAACAGGCTCTTCTTCCTCCTAAGAGAGTTCCCATGTTATGAAACTCCTCTCTCCATGTACCATGCCCCCCTGGGGTCCTATCTAATCTCAGCTGCCACAGTCAGGGACAGCAGGACACTTTCTTCTCCTATTTGTCATGGAACTCTTAGCTGCAGACACTGGCGGACCCGGTCTGCCAGGCAGATGCCTCAGTTTGACTTACTGTCATTTCCTCAGGCTGGGAGGGGCAGTTTTCCTGCCTGGCACTGGCTGATCACCCATCCTGCTGTACAGGCCCTGGGCCCTCCAGGGTTCTTTACATGTGGCAGCTTCTGTGCCATTAAGTAGCTGAATGCAGGTGTTTGTTTACTGGTGACACTTGGATTTGTTCCCAATTTCTTCAGTACCGGCAGTGGCTGAAGGAAGAGTACGGAGAGAACACTTTGCAGGATGCTGAAGAAGCCAAGAGCATTCTGGGTAAATATAGAGAGCAAGGGCGTGTGGACTCGCAGCCTGGCGCTAGGCGGTGGAGCAGCTTTTCAGCCCTTCCTCCTCTGGCCTGCAGCTACACAACAGAGACCTAAGGCAGAGGGATCTGCTCCCTGCCTTCCCACCGCTTGTCTTCACGCCCGCACCGTCTGTGTGGTGGTCTGCTGGTCTGCTGGCCGCTGCCCTGGATGAGGGAGGCAGCCTGGGCGAGGCAAACTGCTCAGGGCTCCTCCCCAGGACCCTGCTCAGCCCTGCTCCGAGCCCCTTTGCTCTGCCCCCCTGCACACTGAGCTGGCTGCCCTGGGCTGCTTCCAAGTTACTGGGCTACCACACACTGCCATGTGCATGTGGATGCACAGTGTGAGTCTGTGTGTGCAGCCCGTGTGAGGCTGTGTGCATCGCGAGAGTGCACGTGTGTGAATGTTGGGTGTTCATGTGGCCGGAACTCATCAAACCCGAGCTGCCCAGATCGGTGGTGTGGCCACTTCTCCCTCCTCTGACACCATGTGGAAAGCTTTTGTACTTGACCTTGGAGAAGCTGCTGGGCAGGAGCCGCCTGTAACACAAGCAGACAGCTGGAGGAATCGGGGGATGAGCCAATGAAAGCTACCGCCGCCGCCGGCAGTCCATGGGGAAGGCGAGGTCTGGCCCTTCTCTGGGATGCTGTTCCAGGGACCCTGAAGTGTGTGTGCATTGGCAAGGAAAGCCCCTGGGGAAATGGCTTGGGCTGGGTGTGGGCACTGCAGGTCCTGGTTTCTCTGCTGCCCCTTCAGCCTGTGGTGCCCTGAGATCTGCTTGGTGTTCTGGACGCATTCAAGGTTCTTCAGCCAAAGGTTTCCTGCGTGAGGGCCCTTCCCTCCCCTCCTCCCCACTTGCTTCATGGCCTCCAGCCTCTCACCGTTCTTGCTCTGCAAAGGCCCCTTCTTAAGGTTTGCATGCACCTGCAGGAATTGGGAAGAGCATTAGGCACTGTAGCCATTTGCATTTAAAAATGCCAAAGCACTTATTAAGCTCCTTGATGTATGCTGTGGATTTGGTCTTTGATCTCAGCTACCTCATTAAATGTCTTCTGAAAAGGTGGTTTTGGTTATTCTAGTCCACTCTGCCTCAGAGTTGACAATTTTGGTCATGATTGCTTTTGAAGCCAAAGGGCAAGTCATCAGTATCCTTGAGCTATTTCACATTCCGAAGTGGGCTCCCACCATGTTTTCGGTGATGTGATTCCACAGAGCTGGTGAGCACCTGCATGTGCGGTGTGAGCCACAAGGCCCTGTGTATGTGCCATGGTCCAGTTCCTTATACCAACTGGAGTTTGTGCACACACAGAGCCACGTGAATGAAAAATGTATGCCTCCTCTCCCAAAAAAGATGTCATAACCCAGTTTCTCCAAGTTCTACCATGAAAAGAGCCTCTGAATGAGCAGAGTGGTTTTCCCATTGCATGAAGGGTGTGTCAAAGACAAGCTCTCTGGGGATGGGGAAACCAAGTGGCCAGCTGTGCACACATACAGCCCCAGTGCATGAGACAGGCCGTGGCCACAGGTACACGTGTCCTTAACTAAGAGAACTGCCTGTGAGGTACACTTTTGCTTTAAACCAAAAAGAGATGTAAATATACAACAGAGGGCTACAGGTGTAACTCGGTAGAGCGCCTGCCTGGCATGCACCAGGCCCTGGGTTTAATCCCCAGTACAACAAAAGGAAATGAAAAGAACACCTGAGCAAGTACTCGAAAGTGTGTGTCCATTTGTGAGTTACCTGACACACTCCCACAGGCTTTGGAGTGTTTTAATATTTGTTGCCAGTAATGTTCTTTCTCCGCAGCCACTCCAGGAATTCTGAAGTACTGGCCATTTCTCAGAAGACTGTAACATACCCGAAGTTTGTGAAATATTGCAAAGTTTAGGCTGGTGCTGCCACAAAGAAAAGTGACCTGGAGTTTAAGTATCCAGCAGTGATTTGTAACTTGTTTTTCATCTCCCAGGGAGTACATATGTAATCATGTTGTAACGTGTTGTGAGCTGTGGGGATTCTTTAGCAAGAGAAAACACTTTTAGCCTAATTCCACGCTGTGGCTGTCCCTTGAACCTGACATTGATGCTCTCCAGAGCCCCGCTGCTGCCATTGTGACGCTGTTTAGTAATCTCAATTACTTCCTGTGAGCAGTGCCCAAGGAGGAAGCCAGCACCTGAGGACAGGGACAGACTCAACTTGGGGCATGTTTCTCCCAGGCTGATGGTCTCCACATGGAATTCCCCCAAAGCTACAGTTTTGTTAATAAAGGGCAACCTGGCATATTATGCTCACTGTCCATGCTGGCGTTCTTCCTTGGCGGTGGTGTGAGGCTCTTGCGCGTTTCTGTGGCAGACACAGTGGGAAGGAACCTGTTGCTGGTCCCTAAAGCAGGACAGCACATGCTAGGAAGGGCAGGTTAATGTCTCCATGACAAAACAAACTGGTTCTTGGCACTGGGAGTGCAGCCCAAGATACTCAGGTCCCCGGGTTCTATCCCCTGACACCAGAAGAGGAAAACAGCCCCTGTGCAGTGTGCATCACAAACGCTGGAGCTAGACTTTGCCTGGCAGAGGAGGAGCTCGGTGTCTGGCACCCCTGGAGTTTCCTCATGGACACAGAACTCAGCCCCAGGCTACTGTGGACATTTGCTGCATTTACTGGGTCCAGTTTTTCTACTTTTGTGTTTGGCATCCCAGTTGGGGAAACACACTGACCAGTGTAGATCCATTTCCTGGATTTCCCTTGTCTCACTCTGAGGAGGAGGAAACTTAACTTGTTACTCCAAGGTGAGTTTGCCATAAAGAAGCAGGTGAACAAATGCTGGAGCATGGTAACTTGGCATGAGAGCAGTGCGAGTGTGTGTGCGTGCGTGTGTGTGTGTGTGTGTGTGTGTGGTGGGGGGGGCAGAGGTGAGCTCTTGGGGACTAGGGAGAAAGAAGCCACCTTCACCAACTACACATGTCTAAGCCCCAGGCTTGACATAACTGCTGTCCCTGATTCACAGAAGCTCCTGGCATGGACCAAGGGGGAGGTGTAGAGGGTACTCTGCTGGCTGCAGGTCCAAGGGGCATGGGGAGCTTTTCCGGCCAGAGTCACCTTGGCAGGAAAGTTGTATTCTGACTGAGTGCACTCACCTGGTACAACAGGAAGCCTCGGCAGTGTCTCTCCATGTGTCAGGTGCTGGATAAGGAGTCGGGCGTGTGTCTACACCCATCTGTGAGTGTGGGGGGCTTGAGGGCAGGGCCACGCCCAGCCATCTTGGGAGCAACTTCACGTGTGCCCAGCAGTGTTAGTCCCAGGGAGAGACCATTGCAGCAGGGCCACCCCTACAGCTCAGTCCTGCCTTGTTTCTGCTGCCTCACTGCATCTGACATGACATGGTCACCTGGTAACTTGTGGCACTCTGCAGGGCACAGGCGGCCTCCTGGGCTCTATGAACCTGTGGGAAAGGCTCACAGGGACGACAAGGCACCTCAATGAGAACACTGGCTCTGCCCTGGGTCTTCCCACCCGAAATCCGTGGTAGGAGGGGTGGGGAGGCTGGAGAAGCTTGGCCAGATCCAGGCTCCCTGGGTGGCATTGGGACAGCCATGAAAGCAGAGGGCTCCTGGTGTCACCTGGAAGCTCCCAGCCCTGCCAGGACAGCAGCAGCCCCACTGCGCATTGAAAGTGAGAGGGCTTCTTGTTCTCCACAGCCAGACCAGGTGCTCAAGAGTCACACTCCAACTGGCACCAAGGACCTGGGGTCCTCTGGACCTCAGTCACAGTCTGCAGGGGCGGGGGGCGGCACTGGCTCACTGGCCCTCACCTCACGTTCCTCACTCCCTCACTAACACGACACGTGTCTTCCTCACAGCGGTGCCGAAGCTTGGAAAGACAGGGCTGGTGGGCTGGGAGACATGGAGCAGCATGATGAAGCCTGCACAGGGCGCCAGGCCCAGGAGGTCGTGCAGTGCAGGGAGCCGGGCACATTTAGAGAGGGAACGGGGCAAAAATGACACGGAGTCTGAGACCCGGGTGAGGCCGGCCGGTGGTGTTATCTTGGTGGGGGGACCTGGGCAGATGCCAGTTATTTTGTAGCATGAGTGTCCCTTGCCTGAAATGTTTGGGCCAAAAGGGCTGCAGAGTTGGGATTTTTTTTTTCATATTTTAAAATACTTGCATTTGCATAATGAGATATCTTGGGGTTAAGATGCCTGGAAACAGGACATCATTTATATTTTATATGCACACTGCAAACACATAACCTGAAGGTGATTTTATACAGTGTCATTAGTGCACCTGTGTTCTGATTGCTTCCTGTCATATGAGATTGGTGTGAAATTTTGCACTGTGGAAAAAGTGCTCAGAAAGTTTTGGATTTGGAAACATTTGGATTTCGGATCTGCAGCAACTAGTTATTCTTCGTCAGGGTCCTGGTGTCCACAAAGGAGTATCCTTCCTCCAGCAGTCCTGGAGCTCACTGCCTGGGTACCTGAGCTCAGCTGCCCATGCTGTGAGCCTGCAGTAGGCACAGTGGCATGGATGCCGTTCTGTGGGTGCTGGAGGAGCCATGCAGGAGGTGGTGTGACTGCGTGCAGGCTGGAGGGTCCCTTGATGCCTGGAAGAAGGGAATGCCCCAGGCAGAAGGCCACTGAGAGGTGGCACCACCCTGAACCTGTCCAGAGCTCCCCTGGCCTGAGAGGGAGGCTGGGGTGGGCAGCAAGGATCTGAGGTGCCCAGATGGGATGCTTATGGCCATCTGCCCTCAGGTACTGTGGCCCCGCTGGGTGGCATGAGGCCTCTGGCTTATTAGGGTTACATGTGAGGAAACCCTAAGAAAAGACTGGTGGGGCCAGACGGAGTCACTTGCTGTGCGGCACCCAGAGCACACTCCTGGGACCAGGCTCAGGAACGTGGACAGGGAACTCGAGCAGCCAACCTTGCTTGTTGGGAAGGAACAGGTCTGGCTCCAAAAGCCTGTTTAACCCTGGCAGCTTTGTCAGCAGCTTTTGAGAGATGAGTTTAGCCCTCAGGGTCATGTAGTGAGCCAGAACCAGGATGGGGTAGGGAGTCCGGGACCCCGAATGCTCTGCTGTGTCCCCAGCAGGAGCCCACCCTGCCCTCCTCGGCCACCAGGGCTTCCTGCGCCACAAAGCCCCCTCCCTGGGTCCTGGGCAGACAGCCCTGTGAGCTCCTGCTCCAAAGGATCTGTGCTAGAGCCACATTTTTCAGAGCACCTTCCTTAAATGGACTTCCACTCTCCAATGAGAACAGGTTCCTGCTGATGGCTTTGTGAAAATTATTGAGTGTCAATCTTTCTGGTTTCTGTCTCAGCAGGGAACCACATTTCCACTTAGAGGGACGTCTCCTGTCACTCCCACAGAGGCAGCCATAAATTCGTGTGCGTGTGTGCATGTGAGTGTGTGTGTGTGCACATGTGTGTGAAGGAGAGCAAGAGAATCAGTGTACTTTGTATCAGGGAACTGTTATACCGCAGGATCCTGTGCTCTGAGTGCCCTGGCTAGGACTGTGCCAGGCACAGATACCTGCTCACTCAGTCCTGGCAGCAGGTGCCAGGTGGCACCCAAGGAAACCTCTGAGCCTGTGCCACACAGACCTGGGCACTCAGTGCTGCTCTGCACACCAGCCCCTAGTCACAGAAATAGGGAAGACGCCAGGAGCCACACCCCTACCATCCCACACCAATGGCTCCTCCCATCCTGCCTGAGTTATTAATAAGTTTATCAAGAATATGCTCTGAACACGCCTGTATTTATATATGTACTTAGCGAGAAATCACCACAACTGCACAGGGTGGTTCCTCTTCCCTTTTCTTTTTTATTGCCCAGGGAAAGGGAGAAATAGAAAAAAAAAAAAAGAGAGAGAAAAAGTGGGGTGGGGGAGACAAAGAAGAAAAAGGACAGAAAAGGAAAGGAAGAGAGGATGAAAGCAGGAGGGAGGGAAGGATGAAGGACCTGCCCTTCACTTGTCACTTGGAAGCCTCTCTGCCTTCCGAGCAGTGGGCTGTCCTTGTCCCTTGTCCTCAGACAGCAGACACCGAGAGTGTGGACAGGCTCGTGAGTGGGTGGCCTGCAGAGATAGATGGCTGGATACCTCGATGACTTGTCTCCCCACCCTCACTAGAGGCATGAGACCCATGATCATGAATAACAAATAATGGGGCAGCCTGCTTCAGCATCAATTCTGCTGGGGCCCCAGCTACTGCCCTGTTTTGCAGCTCAGGCCCAGCCAGCTGAAATCAGCATCTGTCATGGCTGCAGGGCTGAGCCAAGCCTCTTTCCATCAGGGGAAAGAATTGCCAGAGTTTGAAGAACATCTGCAGGCTGGGTTTATTTTGGCTCCAGACATCTATGCAGATGTAATCGTGAGAGTCTGGTTCACAGCTAACCTTCCTGAAGCCTCTAGTTCAGGTATTAGAGTCCAGTTGTTAAAAGAGCTATTTTGGTAGGTGCCTAAAAGTGCGGGCAGTACAGTGTCCTAATATCTGAGACACCAGTCAGTGGAGCTCTCTGAGGTGGACCACACTTGAGCATATCCTGCGGAGCAGGCTCCCTTTGAAAGCTGGATGGTAGGACCAGCAGAGTGACAGTTTCTCCAAGGAATAGTGTCCTTGGGGACAGTTTGAGGACAGTGCTGACTCTCCCATTTCTCCACCTTCCCAGCTCGGCCCAGGCACCCTGTCTCTTGCTGCCTGGCCATTTGGGGTGCTTATTAGAGACCTGCAGCCTGTGGGAAGGAACATGCCAGATACAAGAGGGCAGCCTCTCCCCAGGACCTTGCCACCCACCTGCCCCCGGAGCAGCCAAGCCAGCAGACAGGAACTGCATTTAGCTGGTGAGCAGGTTTGCTGTTTGTTCACCAGCCCTGGGTTTCCCCAAGGCACCAAAGGGGAGTGTTTGGAAAAAAGAATCAGAAGGCACCTCCATGTGCATCAGAGAAATGTCACCTTCTGCTTTGCAAAGGGTGTGCCCTTCACAGCCCATCTTCCTCAGAATGGGAGCCTTGAGAGCTGTCATTCTTGGTTTGGGCCTGAGCCACACTGATGTGGGGGCCAAGACAGGCAGGACAGAGGCAGAGAAAGGAATGCTGCCCAGCTTTTTGCAGTGGTTGATTGCAGGTTCAGGAGTGTCTGGGGCAGTGCTGTGGGATGGGCTGAAATCCTCTCATCCCACCACAGTCCCCATCCCTAACACAGTGCTGGTGTCTGCTGTGCAAGGCCCCTTCCTGTCATCCCCCACTTGCTGGGGCAGGAGGTATGGGTCCTGTGGTGTAGATTGGAAAT